GAAAAACAATAGTAAGTGCAAGTATAAACTGCACAAGGTCACATTGGATACACTGTACTAATAATCCAATATATAATCATTAAAGCGTAAGGGCTGTCTCTTATACACATCTTAATGAAGAAAGTGATAATGAACATTAGCATATTATAAAATCACTGATGTAGGTAAATATAAGTAAATCACAGTATGTAATATGGTTACATAATACTAACACACACACACACCCACACATTATACATATATATATGATATATATGATATATATATATATATATATATGTGTATATATATATGTGTGTATATATATATATATGTATATATATATGTATATATATGTATATATATACACATATATATGTATATATATACATATATATATATATGTATATATATATATATATAAATATATATCATATATATATATTATGGTAATGATAATAACAGCATATGGCAATTGCATATAACTAGCTCTATCACAGTTTTTGTACAGGTCGGTTATTATTATATTAATATGTATGCTAAAAAGATAAAATAATGGAAAATGGCAGCCATTTTAAATTGTAATAGCTCAAAAATTTGTACAATATTTAGTTAACTGTTTCTGTCATTGTTATCAGTGGATTTCCAATTGAATACTGCATTTTAATGACATAAATTTACAATATTAGTGATAATTTTAGGGAAAAATGGCGGCCATTTTGAAACGGCTGGCAACCCCCCTTACGTATGAAAAAAAAAAATGTTGCACATACTTTTTTGATTTATCTATGTCTACTCTACATCATATCCAATTTTTAAAAAATATAGCAAAAAAAAATGCAACCAACCAAAGTTTGCTGGACTACTAGGCGCGTCTAGCCTAAAGAGGGCCTACATAGCAGGTCGAGATCCATGAAAAGTCGTATATAAAGATGTAGGTTAGTACCCACATCTTTATATTTGCACAAGTAATTAAAATTGTTTATTGAGCAGATTAATCACACTGATAAACAATTGTACTACATTCGGCTGATGTATATGAACTTCTATTTAGAGACATAATTTCATTTTTTTCTTTCCATAAATCTTAATAAACGTGAACTAGCACCTTATATCGACTTTTGAATGGTGAAAATCGGCTCAGTATAACCCATTTTACCGAGTACAAATTTTAAGTTAATAGAACATACTGCTGTTACCTCTTCTAGTTTTCCCCCACCGTTGTATTTAGGTACACCATGGCTGTAAATTGTGATTGTTACAGCTCGCACGCAAAGATCATACGCGGCGGATATCCTACGCGGTGGATACCCTACGCGGCGCTATTTACACGATCTTTTGTTACTTTTTCGACAGAGACGTCATGGTATCGTATATAATCGCCTATACCTTCATAAAAAATAGTTAAAAAAACGTTTTTAAAGTTGATTCTATTATTAATGGCATATCAAAAATCCACTCTAGAACAAAAAATAATTTTGTTAGTTCTCTTTTAACACGCTGGAGTCTCCCGGAAATCGGGTCGACCGTCCGCATTCTCTCAAGCAAGTCAAGAATCTCCTGTAAATTAACCCAGAGTCCCGCAAATTCCTAATATTTGCAGGTTTTCAATATTTTATTATCAATATTGTGTCATTGGAGTTGAGGTATCTCTATGTGCAGTAAATATTATTAAATGTTAACAAAAGTCAACCACTGAAGATCAGTGGAATTCAATAGGAGGGGGTGCAATCAGCCCGGGCCCTTAAATTTTAGTTGCTGTAGTTTTGCCAAGAACTGAACTTTATTGGAAACACTTGTTTCAGTGGCACACACCATCTGGTAGTGCATCCAAATTACAACAAAACACTTCACAAACTACAATGAAAAATATACAAAAATTTGTAATTGCAATATGTGAAAGTCAACATGAGCACTTCCAGCAACTACAGTAGTTGAGGTCAGTTGAGTTGAGCCAAGTTGCAAGGGTGACAAATGCTTAGTTTTACATTTTAACATACACACTGACAACAAAGTATATTGAATTAGTTCCATGCACAGGTGAGGTCCTTCAATTTTTATCTTTATGAGTTTAAAACTTGTTAAGGTTGTCACTATAATATGATATGATTTGAAATAGAGATTACAGTTCTGATCTGTTCACAATTAGTGTCAAAGGAGTGAGATTCATGTATTAATCTTGTCAGTCAAAAAAAAGGGCTGCATTTATTTATTTTTAGTTTTATCTTGACCATATTTTTAATTTTATCTTGACTAACGATGTGGAAAAAGTCAGGAAAAGGTAACAAAACAAACCTAGAAATTCTTTTTCTTGCATTTGCTTGACATCTGAGGTTGAAATCTAAAGCTCTGTGTAGAGGTCTTCAAATACCTAGCAAGAGCAGTGATTAAGTGACTATCTAGGGCGGATGCAGGAGTTGGCAGTAGGGGGTGCGTGAAAGTCCATACCACCTCAGCCCCACCATAATTGGGGCTGAGGCCAGAACATTTTGAGAATATGGATAAATATTTGTAGGTGCCTGAAAAGAAATTGCACTTTCATACCTTAAAAATCTTACTGGTATTCATCAGCAATACAATACAAAAATTATTTTTCTTAATACAGTTTATGGCGGTGCGATTGCACCGTCTGCATCCCCCTGCTTCCACCCCAGACTATGATGTATCACAGTCTATAAACAGGGTTGTATCTGTAGACATTTTATAAGGGTGGGTGAGTGATAACATTGGTAAACTCTAAATAATAAGAGTGGATATTAAGGATGGAAAAATGGGTTAATAAGGATGGATGGAGGGCCATGAGGTTAGCTTTAGACGGGAAAACTCCAAGGCTGGGTGGCCAAACCCACCATAACTACATCCCTGTATAAACACTAATAATATTAATAATAATAAATTTAATAAATAATTATTAGGGCAGGAGTTTATAGCTGCCATTGACAGTCATGTTTCAGCACACATCCACCACCACCAGTTTTAAGCAACTTCACAAAACAATGCTGAATTATTCACTTTTAAAATACTTTCTAATTTCCAGCTTTCTGTGACACTTCACCGTGTATGAATGGGGGAACATGTAGGATTTCTGGTACTTACTACAAGTGTGATTGTCTTTCAAGCTTTAGTGGGGACAACTGTGAAACGTCTTCTGGATGTGACCCAAATCCTTGTCAGAATGGTGGTGGCTGCACAAACCTGCAAGGAGGGTATGTATGCGCATGCACAACTGTCTCTTATACACATCTAGATGTGTATAAGAGACAGTAATTAGTACTGTGTTATCTCTTAATGAACTTGTAGCCACTCAAAATACCAAGGTATTTGTTTAGACCTTGTTTAGACCCTGTGTATGAGTGTTGAACATTAACACTCAATGCATCTTGGGACATTTTATATACATATTTCAACCATTATTCAATCAATCAATAAGAACATAACATTAATAATAACAAAATACTGTATTATATATGTTTATTTATATTATATTGTTTCAAGTGAATGCAATAGTAAAATGAATTTGAGATATTTGCCATAATTAATAATGAATGATTGAATTTAATTAGTGTTTTAATTGTCAATGTTTATTTCTAGTTGTGCAGGGCTGCAATCCAAATCCATGCTTGAATGGTGGAGTGTGTACTACAGTTGCTACCTGTAGTTTTTCATGCTTATGCCCCTCAGGGTTCACCGGATCAGTTTGTCAACAAGGTATAGCAGCATGCGTTACAACATTTTTAGCGATACATTACAAACTGATAATGATATATTTAAATAGGTTTATTATACAAACCATTCAACTAATGCTGAATTAGTGCAGGATTAGGCTGGAAACATTATGTTGGTGGGTAGATATTGTTTTAATTGACTTAATTAATATTGCTGTATTTTTACGATAGTTAAATTTACAATGCATTCAATACAAGTAAATTTATGTTTCATTGCCTTAATTTCACTTCATCTGCAGGGGCGGATCCAGAAATGTCCAAAAGGGGGGGCCGGAAGCGGGGGCCGAAAGTTGGGCCGATTGAGACAACACTGTCGTAGGGGGTCTGGGGCATGCCCCGCGAAATTTTTGTGTTCTAGACGCCCGAACATAACATTTGAGGCATTCTGGGCTATCATTTTTTTCTTTTTCTCTCTTTTTTTTTCTTTTTTTCCCCTTTTTTTACCTCCCAAAAGGGGAGGCCGGGGCCGGGCCGCCCCCCCCCCCTAAATCCGCCCCTGATCTGTAAAATATATTTTCATTGCAGTAATATTATGTTATAATTGTTAAAAACAGATTGGACAGATATTGCCTACACTTAACTCAAAAAATTGTAGCTATATAAGTTAGTATTCAATCCTCTACAGTATCGGTTACTCAAGTCCCGGATGCCTGCAGCAATTCACCTTGTAAGAACAGTGCTACATGTATTCCAATGACTGAAACGACGTACATGTGTCTGTGTGCGAATGGCTTCATTGGAGCAGATTGTGCCTATACACGTATGTTGATTTCATTTGTTTAGTCATTTAAAAAAAACATACTGAAACATTGACAGATGTGAAAATACTGTAACCAACTGTTTGGACAGGATTGATAACGTAATGTATAACATCAAAGTTTTATATAGCGCTTTCCAAATGAATGATCAAATGCACTGAATGTTGTTACCCCTGGTCACTGCAGGGGTCCCAAGTTGGAAGAAGTCATTTCCAGGAGTTTTGCATTGGCAGATCAAAGAATTTGAAGTAGAAAGAGGTGGGGTGGGAGGGTGGCAGGGAGAGACTTTCACAAATGGAATGTCTTTCCACCTCAGCCCCACCATAGTTGGGGATGAGATAAGAAAATTTATGATTATGTCAAATCTAGGTGGCTGGAAATAGCACTCTCAGACTTAAATCAGAATATGATTTTTTTTTTCTCCCACTTTTGTTATAATTTTGAACAATTTAGGGGGGATGTATTTTGCTCTTGAATCCACACTAATCTGGTTAATAATAATTTAATTTCATTTGCTGCACATTGTAATACACATCGGCTCTCACTTCCATGAGACAATTGATATGAAATCAGTGAAAACATGCAATTATTATGAATTTGCATGAGATGGTTATTTCCTCGAGATTCTTGCTTGCTTTTGATTTTCGGGAGACTCCCTGCCACTGGATAACGTACAAT